ATTTGCAGTGCCCATGCAGAACATGATCAACAACAGCTCAAGCAGCTCCGCATCGCACACAGCGAGGAATCGTCGAAGACGGTGGGAGTATGGCTCGACCTCGCCGGTGGCAGCCTCTGGCAGACCCCTCTCTAAAGGACGGACAGGCAAAGGTCTGGAGCACCAGAGGGTGGCGACAGCCAGAAAGACAACAGCGTAGGCGTAGAATATGCTGTCAAGCTTGAAGCCGGGCAGCTCCACGACATATCCAAGCGCCAACGAGGAGACCGAAAACATGAGACCCGCCCACAGGCGTACGCGCCCGTACACGAGCTCTGGCAGCGCGAGGAGTGCGACTGCGTCTAGCAGTGATTAGGCGGCGCTGTCTACAACGAGTGAAACGGTCCCCGAGGAACGCGGACCTGGAGCCTCGGCCCTTCCCCCAGGATCAGCCTTTCGTCCCGAGTCGCTTCCTCACGGCCCCGAGGCCCAGGGCGGGCCCCGGGAGCCCGAGAACACGGCCAAATAAGCACCCGTGCCCCTCCAGAACCCCCTCTTCTTCGTGGCGAGCTGTGCAGCACCTCGCCCACCGCCATCCGTGGCAGGGCCACAACCGCCCAGGGCCGAGGCCAGGGCCACCTGCACGACGCCACCAGGCCGGGCAGGGCGGCTGTAGGCCGCGTGCGCGCCCGCGCTCGCGGCGACGACGGCGGCCAAGCACCGCTGCGGCCTGCCCAGCCCGTCGAGGCGCGCGCAGAGCGCCGGCACGCCTGGCACCGACACAGCGCCGCGAGGCAGGCCGAGAGGGCCCCCCGGTGCTGCCCGCGGACGGCCCCAGCCGGCGGCGCAGCCAGAGCTGCAGGAAGGTGCTGGCTGCAGCCGCTGGCGAAGCCGTGGAGGGCGTGCGTGGACTTCGGCACGAGGCACGCGCGCCGCGCGCGGGCCTCGTGCGCGGAGGCGCCTCCGCGCGCGGCGCCTCCGCGCGCGGAGGCGCCTCCGCGCGCGCGGCGCCTCTGCCCGCCGCGGCGCCTCCGCGCGCGGCGCGCGGAGGCGCCGCGGCGGGCGGGGCTCTCGCGCCAGGGGTCGCCGGCATCGGGCGGCCAGCCCCGGTGGCCGCCTCGTGCCCGCCGGCCGCGCGCCTGCGGGGCGTCCACGGCGCAGCGCTGAGGCGCCCCGCAGGGTGCCGCAGGCCCGCGGGGGGGGGGGGGGGGGGGGGTCGGGAGGGTGTCGCCTCCTGCATGGAGCCCGAGGCGCAGGGGCGGCGGCCCCTGCCTGGCTGCCAAGAGAGAGAGAGAGCACGGTGAGGGCAGCGGCCAAGGGAGCCAGTGGGCGAGGAGCTCAGGATCTGGGCTCGGCCACACGCGAGGAGTGGCCACAGGCAAGTGCGCAACTCTCGGAGGTCGCGGGGGGGGGAGGGGGGGGCAGGCCCGAGGGCGCAGCCCGCTGCTGTCGGCTCGCATTCGGCCATCTGGGGAACCCACTGTGCCCGCACCAAAAGCCACTCCGGTGAAAGGTCGCCCTTACGCGTAACTGATAGAAGTCGCTGGAACTCCTATCATGGATACCACCGCCGCCGTCATCAGATGGGGAATTTCCCAGGGCCTTTATTAAGCCTCTTGAGGCACAGCCCTGAACACCCTGGGGAAACCCGAGGGTACGGATACCGCTACTCCCTGGACCTCTCCCGGGGTGCGTCCTGACCAGAATTTCGATGCTAATTCAGCCGTGGCGACGATGGCCTCCGAAGAAAACTTGAAAGGCGACAGCGAGGGAGGGAAGGGTAGCGGTATCAATACCTTCCTTCCCTTACCAGCCTTGACAAAGTCAGGGACGTGACCTCAGAAGCTGAAGCGATGCCAATCACAGGGATAGGTATCTATTTCAAGCTAGTGACTTGCTCCTTCGGACTTTCAGGCCCCGCCCCTAGAAGAAGAACAAGCGCCATAAACATAAGCTGGATATCCGCGCGGATTTCTCGGATCCGCGCTGGACCCCCCTTGGCACGCTCCGCGCTGAATCGACCTCATCGACCCCCAAACGCCTGTCGACGCAAATCGGCGCCAGAGACGGAATTAAGAGGGTATACTCGGCTCCAGCGATTTGCGCTCGAAGGGGGATGCTCGTAATAGCTGTTGCGTGCCATCGTGCTGCGCGTCGGTGATCTCAGCACTGTCCGCCGTCAATGTTTGGCCCCTGTGCAGGGTTGAGGCTGGTGCTCGAGCGGGTCACATAAATCTCGGGCTCAAGCGTGGGCTTCGCATCTGGGGCTGAACAGGGGCTGGCACCTGCCCTTTGCGACATAATATTGGTGCTAGCATCGATCTTTGGAGCACCTTTGGGCCCCCAGGGGTCAACACTCCACAGAAGTCGTTCCCCGTCAGCGCCGACCCCCATTTGAGGATCGGAAGGGATTCGCTGATTCGCGGACCCCGTCAGCGCTGACCCCATGCTGGCTTTCGGAGCACAGCTCGGGCCCCAGGCGGCGGTTCGAGACGATCCCATCCACGAAACTCGCTCGACGAGGCGAGGCTGCTGGAACGTTCCCCTGGGTCCCGAAAAACCTCGGAAGCTTCCAAAAGCACTCACATACCCCCGATAGGGCTGACCCCCCGTCGGCGTCTAAACCCCGCTGGCGAGGACCACGTTGCGTCCACTCCGCGGCTCCCCCACCCAGCCCAAATCTGCTCTCAAATTCGGCCTCTGGACCGATCCTGGGGTCCCTCCGGGCCCCCCTCTTCGAGGCGGACCTGAAGCCGTGGCAGCGAGCAGCCTCCAGTGCCCAGAGTGGACGAGGAGCCCCAGGAAGGGCCGCAGCTGCCTCGAGCGACCCTCTTCCTCCTCCTCCCAGGGAGGGGTGAGCAGCCGCGGCAAACTTTGGTACGTTGCGCTAGCGAGTTCTTGCCATCTCTCGGACGTCCACTTCCCGTGCATTTTTCGGTGTCGTGCGTGTGTTTTTTCTGCTCGATGGTCCAGGATAGCCCTCGGTGGTCCTCGCCGAAGAAAAAAAGCACACGCCCGAGCGATGCCAGGGAGTTGTGGCAGGAGGGAGGGGGAACGAAGAGGGGCCGAGGTGGGGGGGGAGTGGGGCAAAAGGAACTGGAGGGAGAGGGTGAGGGAGAGGAGGAGGAGGAGGAGGAGGAGGAGGAGGAGGAGGAGGAGGAGGAGGAGGAGGAGGAGGAGGAGGAGGAGGAGGAGGAGGAGGAGGGGGAGGAGGAGGAGGAGGAGGAGGAGAGAGACGAGCGCAGGGAGGGATCCCCAATCCACACCTACCCCACCCTGCCCCAAGCGGCCTCTGCGCCTGGCGGGGGAAGCTCGGGCGCGCCTGCTAGGAGGAGGGAGGAGGAGGAGGAGGAGGAGGAGGAGGAGGAGGAGGAGGAGGAGGAGGAGGAGGAGGAGGAGGAGGGGATGGAGAAGGATCGGGAGCAGGACGAGGGGCGCGCGGGGGGCGGGCCGGCAGCCCGGTCCTGGATGTCCGCCACGGACAGGCGTGCCCGGGGGAGCTCGACGGTCTGCCTCGCGGAGGGGGGGGGGGGGGGGGGGGGGGGGGCGCGGGGGCCGGGAGGGGGGAGGGGTGCCCCACGGGGCGACGAGATCTGCGCACATCCACTGCCTGTGGCCAGGAACGGTGTTTGAGCCCTCCAAGCCAGGGAGGCATGTGCACCGTTCCCAGGGGGTCCTCCTTGGTGATGTAGAGCTTCGCGTCGCTTGGCACCGCATTGCGTCTGCATTGCTTCGCGATGCTTTGCACTGCATTGCATTGGTTTGCACTATCTTGTGCTGTTTCGCCTCGTGACAAACTTGTTTGCGCAGCATTGCATTGCCTTGCATTGGTTTGAATTGCCTTGTATTGCTTTACAAGTGTTTGCGTCGCATTGCATTGTTGACGGCCGCAAAACTCGCACCACATAGATGAACACGTTCACTGCGAACACATAAGTTGCTCCACGCGCCTAGCACCGCACAGCTCGAACAACATATATTGCACCGCATAGCATGAACCACATATCTTACACCATATAGCTTGCACCACGTCAATGCTTAAAACCTATTCGGATCTACACCCCCTGACTTAATGGGCCCCTCTTTTCCGGATTGCAGTGTGCAGAGAATTCTGCCCCATCGCCCATCCCAACTAAACCGGTATCACCCGAGCTAAACCAGCATCCCCCCCCTCATCCTTTGCAGCAAATGCTATGCGCGCGCACTCGTTTATCAACAACCATCAGGTTCCATCAAGTCCGTTTCAACATATGGGACGAAGTGCACGCGCGCGCGTCGTCGCGCGAGCATGCCAAAATCATGTAAAAAAGCTCAGGCGTCGTAAAAGATGTCGAACTTGAGTGTCCTAAAGCATATAAACACAGATGGTTGTGCAACATGAATTTACAACACTTTCCTGCAATTTCTTGAGAAAACCGTTGGGTTTCCAACATTTTCATTCGACTCGGCCAAGCGAGCCCGTCGGGCCGCACGTCGAAATCATTCGAACGCCCTTGCGCGCGTGCCGGGGGGGGGGGGGGGGGCACGATCCGGACGTGGGGTGCACGTGGCCGAACTGGGCACGGCGGGCAGCCAAGGGGGAGGGGGGCGCGCGGGCAAAAGGAATCCTGCAATCGCCTGCTTGTACTCACCGGGCGTCTCCTCCCGGGTTCGGGCCCTGGGGCCTCCGCAGATCGAGCGGGCTCGATACAAGCAACAAGAAAATGAGGCCCAAGTTCCAGCCGTGATCTGCAACTGTGATTTTTGTTTCGCGCCGCCATTGGATCTCAGGCTGCCCCCTCTCATCCTCGCACGTAGCCCACGGCGCGCAGACTCTCCGAGCAGGACCACCCCTAAGGCTGCAACCCCACGGTGGCGGCCGGCGCAGCAGCCCTCGGCGTCCACCTTTCTCTCGTCCTCTGGCTGCTCCCCTCGTCACCTCCTCCTTCTCCTGCTCCTCCTGCTCCCACCCCTTCCCCCGTGCTTCCCACGCTGCCCTTCTCTTGGAGGTCCCAAAACCGTGTGGTGACAGAGCTGGTGGTGACCTCGAAATCCCAAAAGTCCTCGGCGCAGGGTCCGTCACCACTCGGTCTTGGGACCCATCCCAAAACCGTGCGGTGACCCCGAATCCCCACCGCCTCACCACACGGTGTGGTCACCACCCCGTTCGGGGGCCCCCGATTCTCGGCTGACGCGCCGTGGGCCCACCAGAACCGCGGCCCAGCAGCAGGTCGACGGCTCTCCCCCTGCCAGCTCTCTCTCTCTCTCTCTCTCTCTCGCGCGCCTCTCCTCGCCCGCGTGGGGGCTCGAGACTGGCCCCGCCACCCCACCGAGAGCGACATGGAGGGCCGATGGAGGGAACGTGGGGATGGGGATCCTTCCTTGCCCCATCCCTCCTTCCATCCCTCGTCCCCCATGCCTGTTTCCTCCCTCCTGCCCTCCCCCCTCCCTTCCCTCTTGCTTCCTTCCTTCTGTAGCCCCTCCTCCTTCCCTCACATCGAGCATGACTCTGCGAACCCGCGCGTGGCATCATCACGGAGGGCGGATGGAGGGAACATGACACGGCCCACCGGCAGGAGGGCGGATGGAGGGAACATGGGGGAACCAGAAGGTACTGATACCGCTACTCCCCGGACCTCTACCCGGGTGCCTTCCGACCAGGACTTCGAGGCGAATCCAGCGGTGGCGACGAGGGCCTCCGAGGAGGCCCGAACAGGGGAAAACTGGGGAAGGGTGGAGGTATGGGTACCTTTTCCTCCTCTGGGAGCAAGCGAGGAATGGCGCACAGGCTCCGCGCTCGGGCTTCGCTTAAGATGGCAACGAGCGCGCAGAGAGCACCGAGCCCCGAAGCGAGAGCCCGCGCTCGCGCGGCCCCTCTTTCTGCGCGGCGCAGGGGCGGGCGTGAGAGAATATGGGGGCTACACGCAAGTGTTCGGTGGCAACTCACGGGAGCCTCCCATACCATCTTGTCGGCTTTTGCAGCTCGACGCTAATCGACGCCAGTCCACTCGACGCTAACTCGACGCCAAATCGACGCTAGCCGACGCTAAATCGGCACACCTCATCGACTCTCAAACGCCAGTCCACACGAATCAACGCTCAACACGGAATGGCGAGGGTACGCCAGCCTCCCATAATCTGCTGCCGAAGAAGTGCTGGCCATGCTGCAAGACGATGGAGGAGGCAGGGGAGGAGGCAAAGAAGAAGACGGGTACTCCGGATTCCATTAATAAAGTAGGGGGGGGTTACATTTTGGGGGGGGTCTGATTGGAGCTGTCTTGGAGGGCTCGGGGGGGTCTGGGCAAAGGGCCGCCCTGTCATGGATGGTCTGGGGGGGCCTAAGACTTCTCGTCTGGGAGGGTTGTGACCCCCTCCCTTTTGTTGCGAACTCTGGAGTAAACAAGCCGGGCGAGGAGAGGCGACGGAGAGGCGACGCCGGACGACGAGGCCGCCCCGCCAGGGCGGCGCCTGAAGCGGTGTGCGGGGTGCTCGCGCGGCGGGTTCGGCGACACGCCTGACCCGGCCCCACCCCTAGCCTCTCCCCTGCTGAGGAGGAGGAGGGGAAGGAGGAGGAGGGGCAGGGAGGGAGGGAGAGGGAGGAGGCCAAGGGGGGGGGACGACAGGAGGGAGGGGTGAGGATGACGAGAAGGCAGGAGGAGGGAGAGAAGGCAGGAGCGAGGAGGAGGAGGAGGAGGAGGGTCACCGAGGACAGCCCTTTGGAGCCACCACGGCCCCCCAAATAGCCGCCGAATTCCGAAGGAGTTGCGCGACAATTTTTCCTTGTTTGAAAGCATGCAGTGCTGGGCGCGTAGGCCAGCCTGTAATGCCCCCTGACGAGCATCCATGCTGAACCAAACATTACCGCGGCCGTCGCCATCATCACCGCCAAAACCACAAGATAACAAATGTTACAATCATCGTCGGGCTGAGGTCAGGTCAGTCTGCGTCGCCGCGCATCGACTCTTTACCGAAGCTGAGCGCCGCGAGCTCCCAACAGCATTCGTCGACAGCTGTCAAGAGCAAAACCGCCGAAATGGTCCTTGAAAGGGCCGCCAGGAGAGCCGCCGAAAAGGCCGCCGAAATCGTCGCCGAAATCACCACCGAAATTGCCGCCGAAATTGCCGCCAAAATTGCCGCCGAAATCGCCGCCGAAATTGCCGCCGAAATTGCCGCCGAACTTGCCGCCGAAATTGCCGCCGAAATTGCCGCCGAAATGATTGCGAACTCCGCCAAAATAGCCGCCGGAATTCAGCCGCCGAAATCGCCGCCGAAATTCAGCCGCCGAAATTTTCATTGCCCCGTCGCAAGCGAAATCGCTGTTCCAGTAAGCGCGATGACGCCGCAGACACAGGCATAGAGTCACAGCCAAGGTCAAATTCGGTCTTTTCTCGGCGGAACCATCTGGAATTTCGGCGGCAATTTCGGCGGCAATTTCGGCGGCAATTTCGGCGGCAATTTCGGCGGCGATTTCGGCGGCAATTTCGGCGGCAATTTCGGCGGCAATTCTGGCGGCCCTTCCGACGGCTCTTTCGGCGGCTCCTTCGGCGGCAATCTCGGCGGCCTTTTCGACGGCTCTTTCGGCGACCATTTCGGCGACGTTGCTTTTGCCAACTGTCGACAATGGCTGCCGGAAGCTCGCGGCACTCGGCGACCCCGGCGGGCCCTGAGAGGGCCCCCGAAGGGCCTCGCCAGAAAGCGTCTGCGAAGTAGCTCAAGCCATGCGTGATTTGCACGCGATAGCATGCGCAACGTGCAATGTGAATGCCTCGCATTATACGTCAGCACGCTCTAAGGTGCGTCTGGGAACCACCGCGCGGCAGGGCGCGCCTGCACACTGAAACTCTAAGAAAAACCTCAATTTCGTCTGGAATGGATTTCGGCGCGCGCCCCTTTTCGTCTCCAAAGAAAGAGCCACTATGAGGAGGGCGGAGGGGCAAGCCAGAGGGAGCGAAATGGAGGAGCATCCGTGGGCAGTCGGAAGTCGAAGAGCACTGCGCTCCAGAAGCACGCCGCCACCCCCAGGTCCCTCCAGGTGTGGCGTCGTCCTCCGTCTGGCCAAAGGACCACTCCATGCCGGCGACCTGCAGTGCGGGAGGAGCGTCGGGGTGCACATTCGGAGAACCTGGTCTGTCTCATCGCGCCGCTGTCCGCGTCGAGCCCATGCTGAGCGTGTCGACTCCGCGTCCAATCCGTGTCGAACCCGCATTGGATACAAGAAGCACATGAGAGAGTCTGCAGCAAATACGCAGCCTCCCCTCGAACACGCAGCGTCCGTTGTTGGCGGTAATGAACAATTGCGGCGCGACGGGGCTGGCCGTCTAAGACAGCCCAGGGCTTTTCAGGAGGCAGCGACCTTCCTAGAGAAAGGCCCGGAGGCTTCTAAGAAGGCTCCTCAGAAGCCAGGAGGGCCCCGAAAACAACCCCCCTGCCTTCTCAGAAGGCCCCCTAGCCTTCTCCTCGAGGCCGTCCCCTGATCCTGGTCGTCCTCATCGGTACCCAGCACGGCGCCCAGAAGTGGACGGATCGACGGCGCACGCAGAGACTGCCGGCTCCCCGCGCTCTCGCGGGAGAAATCGAGGATCGAGCATCGAGGCGAGGATATCGACGAACTCCCTCGGCGCCTGGGAAGGGCGCGCCGACGAGACATTAATCGACGGCGCAGGCAGGTATCGCTCATGTTTGTTGCTTGCTACGGGGCCAGGAGAATCGGGAGCCGAACATCGGGTTGTCTGTGTCTTCTGCCAGTGCCCATCTCTCTTTAGCGTTAGACCGGGCACGTCCTCCTACAGACGGACTTTGGAAGAAGCATGGGAAATAGTGAACACATGCTAAACAATAGTCCAAACATAATCGAAACATCGTCACCTCACTGTTTCTGCTAGAAAAAATCCGGAATATTCCGCCTGTAGAGAGACAGGCCCGACTTAAATTCAGCGTCAACCTTCTGGGGCTCTGATTCGCAGGGTAGTTGGGAAGAGGAGGAGGGAGGATGAAGGAAGAGAGAAGAAGAGGGGGAGGGTAAGGAAGAGAAATAGCAGGAGGGGGAGGAGGGGAGCGACGTCGACTCGACTCACGCGCACATTGCGCCACTCGGCAAGAAACAAGTTAAACTTGGCGGGCGCGAAAGAACATCAGGTGCACCGCCATTGGGCGAAATACAAGTAGGCGCAATTTAGCCTGATCGCGTGAATATTTTGCAATGCCACAGAGGTAGACGAAGCCATTCACTCCGATTGCGTCGCTGTGCAGAAGCGCCAACCCAACCAGAGCAAACGGCGCCGCAATGTTTATCGTGCAGGGGGGCCTACTCATTCCGCGCTCCTCGCGACGCTCCCTCGCTCACCCGCCCCCTTTTCCCCCCCCCCCCCCGCCACCCCTCCTTCCTCACCATCCCCCCCCCCCGTGCCCGACCAGCAATGCATCTGCCCCGTTCACCTCTGATACAGCCATAGTGCAGCAGGGACTCGACCACAAGGAAGCTTCCACAAGAAACCCAACCCTGGGACCCCAGGACGTCCATTGATCTTCGGCGTGTGAACGTCATGCTCTCCGTAGCAAAACCATCGAAACCAAAGACACCCAGGGCTTCTTAGGGGCAAGCAGGGAGTTTCTTGGCATGGGTTTCCTCTGTAGCATTGTGGGGGGGGGGCGGGCGTCCGAGAGCTCCTGAGACCTCGGGAAGCTTCCCGAGGCCCATATTGGCATCGACCCCCTCTCTTCACTCGTCGCCCAGATGGCGCCGTCGGCAGGGGGTTGGCCGGGCCCCTGCTGCCCGTCGATGTTGACTCCCGCCGGGGTGGGATCGGGGCAGGACCCGAGTCCGAAAAACGCTCGTCCTGGGTGACACTGGTCCTGAGGGAAAGGGGTCCTGAGTCGGGGGAGCGCCAACATGGATCAGCGATCCATGGATTCGGCGCGCGGTCGCCAGATCCATGGATCGGGGGAGGTGCCCTCCCCAGAATGCGGCCGGTGCCGCCTCGCTCGGCGGCGGGAATCCGCGACTTCCCATGGAAACGAGACCCGTCGCTAAAGGACTCCCCCGTGATCCATGTTTGCGATCGCCTGGCTGAGGTTTTTGGCAGTTTTCGGGCTCTCTGGGCCCTCCACGGGCCCCAGGACTGTCACAGAAGGACTCGGGAGGAGTGTCACCTCCTGGGGGAGAGCCCCGGGGCCCAGGACCCGTTTGGCCCAGGACCCGCCTCCCCCAGGCTAAAGCCTGCGGTGGCCCCAAATCTCCATCGACGACTCATCACACGGTGTGGTCACCTCACCACACCCTTCGGGGGTTCCCGCGAAGATGGATCGAGCTAGACATCAAGCTGGATTGAGTCAGGCGGAGCTGGGGTGGGCCAGACCATGGCGAACTAGCAAAGAAATACTGAGGCCAATGCTAGATACATGTTATCAGGTGGTTGCAGCCAATACGGAACAGGCATAATGAGGTGAACTCGAATGAGCTACGACGATGCTCCTTGCCTACGAGCATGTAGAAGGAAGCAGCAACGGTACATTGTAGTCAGCTGTGGCAGAGATTATGGTGCAAACGGCGTGAGAAGGTGGGAAAATATCGGGAAAAACGCGATTGCTGTCTAATCGGTTGGAGTTGGGTGCAAACGCGAAGTAGTACATCTATGCACGTTGCGAACAAGGAGCAGGGAGTCAGGACTCACGGGGGGGGGGGGGGCAGAAGTCCCTACGACTGGCCACCGAATGCGCCAGCGGTGTGCCCATCACCGTAGGCGGCAACCGTGCAGTTACTCATCCGATGTTTCTCCACCTGGTGCAACTACTGCCCACGGCCTGCCCACCTTCTCCCTTGTATATGGAGCGACCCTGGGACACACACACACACACACACACACACACACACACACAAATACACACAAATACACACAAATATCAAGATTCCCCGTAGTTCCCCACATTATCAGTGTTTTTGCCTTCCCACCCACTTCCCATATTTCTTAATCTTTTCTGGGGAATCGACGATCAAGTGTGTCTGTGTGTTTTTTTTTTCCCTCCCGAGGTATACCTGGACCCCGCGCTGATACAGGAACGCACCGGCCAGCCCAGCGCAGCCCTGCTCGGGGGGGGGGGGCGCTCCGAGGCGTGGCAAAACAAAAGACCAAGCGGCGAGCCATGCACGCGCACAGGTCCTGGTCAGGCCCACCCCCTGGCCATCGCTCGGACGTCCATTCCCTGTGCTTTTTTCGGTTTCGTGCGCGGGTTTTTCGCAGGATGATCCAGGATGCTCCTGAATAATACCTGCAGAGGAAAAGTGCACACGTCCGAGCGATACCAAGACCCTGGGCCCAGGATCGGTGCATACACCCTCCTGGCTTGGCCAGGGAGGCACTTTTACCGAGCTTGGGCTCAGGATGGGCCGGATCAGGATCGGTGCATGCGTGCAGATCCCTTCGTCCGAAGAATGGGGGCACCTCGAGGGGAGGGGAACGCAACTTGCTCAACACGAGCAGGAGAACACCGGTGGGGCGTCGCCTTCAACTGGCCCCACCGACGAACTCCCTGCCTGCGGCTGCCCCTGTCACAGGCCCCATCACCGCTCAAGCTTTCGGCCCCATGCCAGAGCGCGGCACCTCCACGCCGGCGTGAAAGACGCCGCCGAGCTTGACCGGGCACCGCCTCAGTGGGGGGGCACCAGGCGCGGGGCGGCAGGGGAGCCCCTGAGAGTAGCAGGCGGTAGGCACCGAAGCGGGAGATCGGACCGAATCGAGATGTGCGTCAGGTCGGGCTGCATCGGCATGCAATCGAAATCGGTCTGGATCGGCTCCGCCAGGATGCACATCAACGCCATGCAAGCATCGGGCCACATCGGATCGTCGGCATACCAGAATCGGATCGGATCGGGTTGGCTGAAGTGGCTATTGCAACGGATCATGTGGATCGAAATAATCCTTGCGCAGGTGGACGGAAGGCGAACGACAGCACAGGGGGAACATAACGCTGCGGACAGGGAAGGCGACTAGGTGGCAATGGGACAGGGAACGCAGACACTGGACAAAGTTCTGGCAGTGAGCTCGCTATATAATCCAAGAGTGTTGAACCGATGCGCTTGTTTGCGTGCGTGCTTCCTATGTGAATTGCGCGCGCGAGCATACGCTTACATGATGGCGTGCTACTGGTCGTTTTAGAATGTGCTGCTGCTGCTGTGCTGCAGTCTTCGTATCCATGGCGCTGCTCGGGCAGCGCACCAGCCTGTTGGCCAGGAAGCTGTTCAGCCTCTGAATGCTGTCCGCCTGTATGCGCGGGAGATCGGGTAGTCAGGTACCCAGGAATAGAAGACGAAGAAGAAGAGCAAGAAGAAGAAACAACCGCACAAGCATGGGCCTTCGGAAGTCTGGGCCGCTTTCTTGGATCGGCGCTAGATCCCCGACAATGTGTTCATTACGCACTTTTGTCTCCGACGGAGACAACCACCTGCAACTCGCACCCCCGTGCGGTAGCTTCGTGGGGCGTCGGCGCGCGCAAAGGTTTTTGACACCGCCTCGATCGTTCAACCTCGAACCGATTGCGACCCCGATCGTTCAAGCTTACATTCCGTCAGGTACAGTGGCGTTAATTACCGTGTCCCTCGGTGTTTCCACGTCGCAGAACTCAACCTTGAGCGCCTTCGCCAGCGTCGCTGGCGCGCCAACGCGGCACGAATCTGCCGTGCCCGTGCAGCATGCTCCGCTGGCTACTCGCAAGCCTGGCTGCTGCTGGGCAAGCAACGCAAGCCTGGCTGCTGCTGGGTAAATAAGAATGGCGAAGCGGGCGGTGGCACCGGCGCAAGGTGCCACCGTGCGCCCGCTCCTGGCTGCACGACTCTGCCGGTCGCCCGATCCCAGCCAGCCTCCTCCTTACAACTGGACCTGGGACAGAAGAGCATCCTTCAAGAACACGAGGCCCTCCGCCGGCACAAGCTGAAGAACACTCGAGGGCAGATCCTCCCCCAGGATGCACAAGAGCATCCAACAAGCACGAAGAACCTCAGGGCACCCTCCCCGAACCGACCTCGGTCTTATACCTCGGTCCGACCGTACTCCTTCCCTCATCCAGCTCTCCCCCCTCTCCCGAGGCTATCCACGGCGAAAGCAATTGCAACCCAACGCCGGCCAAGCCGACAGGCCGCAACGAGCCTAGCTTGCCGTCGCTCGGACGTCCATTCCCCGTGGATGTTTCGTTGTCGTGCGTGCTTTTTCCGCAAGATGCGCCAACATGCTCCTCGATAGTCCTCGCCGAGAAACAATGCACACGTTCGGGCGATGCCGAGCCAGAAGGGCGCAGCAATGCAACGTCGACACGAGAGCCGACCGAACCGAACAGTCCGAACGCAACCGACTGCGACGCAGCCGAGCCGATCGAACCGCGGACACCCTTCTCCGCACCCCCGCTCTCGCGCCCTGCTTCAGCGTGAGACCCACCTTCGAGGCCTGCTGGCTTGATGGGGCCAGCACGCAGCGGCTTCGCGCCCGGTGGCTCTGTTGGGCTGTCCCTCTCCGAAGACCCTCGGGTCGGACGAACGGGGGGGGGGGAGCAGGAGGCGCGAGGAGGAGGAGGAGGAGCAGGAGGAGGAGGAGGAGGAGGAGGAGTGAGGAAGGAGGAGGAGGAGGAGGAGGAGGAGGAGGAGGAGGAGGAGGAGGAGGAGAGAAAACGAGGAGGAGGAGAAGGAGGAGGAGAAGGAGGAGGAGGAGGAGGGAGGAACGAGGAGGAGGAGGAGGACTAAGGAGAGAAAACGAGAAGGAGGAGGAGGCTGAGGAGCGAGGGGAAGCGAGGAGGAGCGAGGACGAGGAGCGCGGACGAGGAGCGAGAACGAAAAGGAGGAGGAGCACGAGGAGGAGAACGAGGAGGAGCACATGGAGAGTTAGCAAATCAGCCAACGTAGCTGATCCTACGGGCGCCTCTCGGCGCCAATGTATTGAGGAAGCCGCCTGGCGGCGAGGCCGCAACCAGCTGCCTGCAGCAAGTTTCGCACCCCACCATCTCCCTACAGTCGGGCAGCTGAAAGAAGGAACACGGAATAAGGAACGAAGCCCCATTTGGAGCACCAGAAGTGCCTGGGTGCACGAAGAGGCCTTGAGGAACAACCACGGAATGACCTACGGAGCAGCGAGCCCCTCCCGAACCCAAAGCGATCTTTATTTCAGCGTCTTGACTTTATCCCCCCTGGCCTCGTGCGACCATACAGAGGCCTCCTCGATAGGGTCCGAATAGATGGGGTCGGAGGCCCGCGCCGCATCGCCAATGCATCACCGATAACTACATCGACGCTGCATCGACGATGCACTGGCGACGCGACGTCAGCGAGGCACCGGCGACGTCGGCGTGGGGAAACACGGCCTCCACATCGAGTCGCATCGTTGATGCATCGGCGATGCGGCGCGATCCTCCGATCCCATCTCCCAGACCCCCGACGTCATGATTTTTTCATGACGTCGACCCCCGGAGGTTTCGACCTATTCCCCGGGACCGGCTTTTCATCCCGAGCCGTTTTTCGACGGTCCCGAGGCCCAGTAAGGGCCCCCAGAGGCCGAAAACTGTGAAACGCCTCCCGTCGTGACTTTTTCATGACTCGAGGGGGTCTGGGCTATACTCGGACCCCATCTGAGAGGCCCAGAGACCATAGCGATCCTCGTCCTCCTCTGGCCATCGCTCGGACGTCCATTCCCTGTGTATTTGTTCGGCTTCGTGCGTGGCTTTTTCGCAGGATGATCCAGGATGCTCCTGAATAATCCCCGCCGAGCAAAAACTCACACGTCCGAGCGATACCAAGTCCTTGCTTCCGGGTCACAGCTCGTTGTCTCGGGCCACCGCTCGGCACAGCCCGGGCAGCAGTGGAACCCAGGAACGCCCTCGGCAAGAGGGGCGCAGCCGTTGGAAGAAGCATCGGGGGGCTCTGGGACCCCGCCCGGCCAAGGCCTCGAACCCCCATGGCTGGCTATCGCTCGGACGTCCACTCCCTGTGTTTGTTTCGGTTTCGTGTGTGGATGTTTCGCAGGATGATCCAGGATGCTCCTTCATAATCCCCGCCGAGGAAAAGTGCACACGTCCGAGCGATACCAAGCTGGTGGCAAGTCATGGGAGCCTCCGACGTCGTCTTGCTGGCTCCTGCGGATCGGCGCAGGCCGACGCCAACCGACTCCGATCGACGCTGATTGTGCCGGTATCGCCGCTCGTCGGCGCTGTATCGGCGCTCTCTCATCGATTACCAGACGCCAGCGCGCTCTAGTGCACTCTGCAGACGGAGTTGCGAGGACACCCAAATCTCCCATGAATTGCTACGGTCGGTCCTAGGACAGAAGAACAACCTTCAAGATCGGACCTCGGACAGAAGAGCATCCGTCAAGAACATGATACCATCCGCCGGCAAAAACAACCCAAACCATAAGATCATTGAAGGGTACGCTACCCCACGATGCACAAGAGCCTACAATAAACCCAAAGAACACCAGGCTATCCTCCTCGAACTGACCTCGGTCTTATACCCTGGTCCGACCGTGCCAAACTTTTTTGCCCGACGCGCCCCTGGTTGCACCACGCGCTGGCACTTGCGGTGGCACCTCAAAGGAGCCTCCCATACCACCTTGCCGGCTCTTGCTGATCGACGCTAGATGGACGCTGATCGACGCTGATCGACGCTACATCGACGATGAATCGACGCTAATCGACGAGAGCCGACGCTAAATCGGCGCATCTCATCAACTCCCAGACGCTTGTCGACGCTGATCGACGCTAAAGACGGAATTGAAAGGGTACTCCAGGCTCCCATGATTTGTTACCGAAGCAGCGGTCTGCGTGCTTAGGGCTGCCCACCCCCGCGCCCCCCGAAGGCGCCGCGCACCCAAAGGTCACTCCGGCGCAGGGCCAGTCTTACGTGCACCCGCAGATGGGACAGCAAAAGACACCGATGCCGCTGCTCCCAGGACCTTTCCTGGGGTGCGTTCTGACAAGAACTTCGAGGGGAATCCATTGAGCAGGGACCGACCGTCCCGGCATCTCTATAGTCCTACCACGAAATGTTCTTCGAACCCAAAAATGTTCCAAGAACACAAACAATGTTCCTAGAACTTCAGCCTTATGTGTTAAATCAAGACAGCCCCACCCAGAAATGTTCTAAGAACATGTCGTGGAAACCACAGAAGGTTCTTAGGACATTGCTTGGTAGGGCTATAGGCGAGCCAGGACGCTTCGCCACTGCTTGAACCCAGCGGTGGCGACGAGGGCCTCCCAGGAGGCCCAAAAGGGGGAAAACGAGGGAAGCGTGGCGGTATGGATACACCTCTTCCTCCTCGGAGCTGGCTGCACCCCGCGCTGGCACGGCGGCTGCCTCACTGCAGCGCCCGGCGCGTGGCCCGCGCCGCGGCCGGCTGCGGGGCCGGTGCGTGCTGGTGCGCGCGCGCTGGTGCGTGCCGGTGCGGGCTGGTGCGCTGCCGGTGCGGTGCGGCAGGAGGCCAACAAGAAGCGGAGACGAGTCAAGGGTAGCGGCATCAGTACACGTCGTTTCTTTCTATTCGTGCTCATTTCCGATTGTGCTCGTTTCTAATTGTTCCTGGCCCCCGAGTGGCCAGGAAGAGGCCCAGGATAGAACAAGTAGAAATGAAGGATCTTGGCCCCCCCAAAAAAGCAAAGAACTCTCGAAGAATGACAAAGGAACAATGTGTGCCCTTTCTTTCCTCGGAGGGCCGACCCGACGTCGGCAAAAGAGTGGGCAGCACGCGCGCGGGCGGTGCTCCCACGCCTGGGACACGTCATAGATGTGCAGGAGGACCGGGATGCCCCAGCGCAGGGACCCGGCGAGCGGCACCTCGCACGGGGAAGGTTGTTCCAAAGAGTGTCAGCCAGTATGGAGCCAAAGCAATACAGTCGGGGCGTTGACCTAAGGAACCCTAAATAAGGAACGAGGCCCCTCGTTCCCATAAGTGAAGTTTTGATTTCTCATGGAGAACGAAAGGGAAATCCAAGGCAAACTGTACAACTATCAAGGAACACCGAGCCCCTCCCCAACGAAAAGGCTTTCTTCTTCAGCGCCCCGACTGTACACGTTCGTGCACCTTCCATGTGCCATAGTGGTGCTGCAAGCTGTGTCATGCAATCTGTGCATGGGACAATATATGCGCTGCAAGCTACGGGCAGAAGTCCGTGCAATGAAGGACATGCGGCGCAAGCTGTGTGGTGCCACCAATCGTGTGTTGCAACCTTCGCAAACTATCTATATGTATGTACATATTGTACAAGCTGTGTCATGAAAGCTTTGTGGTGCAGCGTGTGTAATGCAATGTATGCTGTGAAAAACGATGCGTTCTGGCAGCGAGCGAGGGGGGGAAATGAGAAGGAGAAGGCCTTCTCAGAAGGCGGTGGGACTTCTCAGAAGCCCTCGCGCCTTCTCAGAAGTTCTCTGCGTCTTCGGGGAAGGCTTAGGAAACCTCTCAGAAGGCCCGGGGACTTCCGAGCCTTCTGAGAAGGCCTCCTCCTTCTCATCTCGCCGCCAAGCGTTGGCAACGACGTAACAAAGTCTGCGTGTGGCGCAGCACGCGCGTTGCCAGCTACCGGACACAGGCTATGGGATGCGGCCCAATCTTGCGCAGCCTGCACGGTGCGAGCCGGGTGGTGCCCCCGGCGGGCGCACGGGGCACCCAGCGGGCGCCCAGTGGTGGCCGCGGGCGGTCACGAGCCGGCATCCCGCCGCGTCCACAGACATCCCGACGTCGTGACCTTTTTCATGACCTCGACCCCCGGGAAGCTTCGACCTGTCCCCCGGGACCAGCTTCTCATCCCGCGTCGGCCTCTGTTCACGGTCCCGAGGCCCGGCACGGGCCCCCAAAGGCCGAAGAAGTGGTGAAGACTCTCCCGTCGTGCTTTTGCTTCCATTCCTCGAGGGGGGCCTGGGAATCTGGGAGGCCGGAACGAGCCTCCTCCTGCATGTCAAATCAGGTCGAACCTCCTCGCCGCACTCCGAGGCCGAACATTGCGAAGATTCTCCCGTCGTGCTTGTTTCATTGCTCGAGGGAGTCATGCGTCCACCCCAAGGGATCCCTGGGCGCCCACACAGCGCCCAACGGGGGGGCCACCCACCGGGCACCAGGAGGCGAGGCGGGGACTTGTCCACATCCACCGCCTGGGAACCGACGTCCTTGGTGTATTACCGATCTCAACCACTTTTACCTGGCGACGCGTTTCGGACTCTAGGTCCTCTTCTGGGCCAAAGGGCTGCGGTGTCCCACGCGCGTGCCGTGCAGTGCGCGAGCAAGGCAGCAAGAGGTCAAGAGTGCGGGGGTGAAAAACCCGTTTTTTTTCACCCCCGTGCCCCAGCGGGCTGCAGGATGTGGATCTATTTCGGCCCCCGGGGGCCCGAAGATGTCCACATCCACCGCCTGCCGGGGCTGCGAAAGCTGACCCTCCGAGCGGTGGTTCTGTAGAAAACTCCCGCCTCGGACAGGAGGCAAAGCCTCGCCGCACCCGGCCCCAGCGCTATAGGGGCGTGCGCCCACGAGGCGCGCGCTCGCTGGTATGGTCACCACGCGCGGGCTCTGGGCGAGACTCCGCCGAGCCCTTTCGAGGAGCCGGCAAGGCGAGCAAAGAAGACCAGGGGAGGCACCGCTCCCCCAGAACCCCCCCTCGAGCAATGAAAAAATCACGACGGGATGGTTTTCACAACTTTCGGCCTCTGTGGGGCCCTTGCCGGGCCTCAGGACCGTCAAAGAACGACTCGGGATGAAAAAGCGGTCCCAGGGAAGAGGTCGAAACCCATGGGGGTCGACGTCATGGCCACGAGGTGCCCAAGACAGAACAGCAACTGGGCATCGACTGAAACCTCGACAGACCAAACCAATGCATGGGGCGCCGGCAAGCAAAGGGAACCGACTCACTCATAGCCCAAAAGCGGGGCCAAGCGCATGCCAGAACGGGACGCGTCCAGCCCCGCTGCCCGAGTACGCACAGTGGACACATGCGGAGAGAAGCCCTGTGATAAGAAATGCGGGGGCGCGTCTCGTCGATCTTGGGCTCCGTCAGGTTACACACTAATGCAGTGCCCCTGGGCCCGGGGATAGGGGGGGCAGAATTTCAGCGGGGCACGTGCTGGAAGGCTGGTTTTCAATTTGATGTGCCCGCCGTGATTTAACTTGACCAGGGATCGAGCAGCATGTGGGGTTACAACACATCCCATCTTCATAGGCCCCACCAGCCCTCGATGGTCAGGTGGTTTAGTGGGTCACCACTTCCAACTAACATCTTCCCCTTCGAGTCTGGGTTTACCTCTCCCCTCCCCCCCCTCCCATGGGCCTGGCCGGGGGGGGGGGGGACACGAACAGTTAGAGCGTCCACGATGGCCCTGAAGGCCCCGAGATGACTACAAACGCACGAAGCCGGCCTCCGTACGCAAAGAGTAGCCATGTAGCCATCTGTCGACCTATCCTCCAATATGCCTCCTGAAGACCCCAAGACTGCAACAAGACGGCCCTGGGTGATCACTAAGTTTCCTGAAGATACCCTCGGCAAACCAACACTTTTCAAGCTTACTGCTTTTGTTCACGGGCGTTCGCTTTCTTGCCGTTTCGTAGCCAGTGTGGTACTGAGGCCTCGAATTGTTTCCAAGGTCGCCAAATGGCAAAACATAGCCTCAACTTTAACTTAATGCTTTAACCTCAACGGGGACGACAGCTGGCGTATGAATCAATCCTCCATGGGATTGCATGAGAACGCAACACATCAACAATGATCTATATGAACCGGATTAATGGCCGCTATGACGCTGACATCCGTAAGCATGACCACAATTGCACCCACAAGCATGGTCAATCGGATTATCGGATTTCGTTTCTTGGCTCCCGTCGCCGCAGCAACCGGCATCACTAGCCATCGCCGGCGCCACCGCTATCGCCAGCTGCCCCTACACTGCCTATAGCACCTGGCGGCGTCTCAACCAAATCACTGCTACCACAAATGCCACTGGACGCCGTGCTTAAGCGAAACCAGCGGTCCACACATTATCACTAAGCCGCCGCAGACCTAATCATCTGACATGGCATAGCCTTCTCAAAATCGATCTTGCCACCACCGTGACGATCACCACCGCCGCCGCCGCAATCGCTACCGCCATTTTTTCTGCGCCGCACCCCCACCGCCAACACCGTCAACATGATTATAACACCATCACATCACACCCGTAACCGCGACTACCATCGAGACCCGCGCAAATACAATCACTCTCCTTTGGAAACAAGAACATAAACATAAACTTTCGACAGTCCGCGCGGATTTCTTGGATCTGCGCTGGGCCCCCCTCCCTGGCGCGCGGAGCGCACTGGGGGCGCCGCCAGAGGCGCCGCCAGGGCGCTCCAACACAGATCCAAGCAATCCGCGCTCAGCGCGAAAAGTGTATGGCCATGGCGTTCTTGCTTCTCCGGTCCTCGTGTCGCTGAGACAGGTGGCGCTTCGCGGTCAAAGCTGCGGCGGGCTGCGCGGTGGCGAACTGCGCATCTACGCTTGCGGATGCCACGACAATGGACACCCTAACAGTCCTATCATGGAATTAAAAATGTGTTTAAAATGTTACACAGGTGTTGTACATTGTGTAAACAGTCTTAACACATGTTCTAGACATCCGGAATTGATTTGGCAACATGCTTCCTCTCCATTGATCGCCCTCACACATCTGCGCCTGGCCCAAAGTAAAGCAACGTGGCCGCCGCGGCAGGCGGCGCGGGGAGAGGCCCGCTCGGACGGCAGGCGCGCCTCCCCGGGCGGCACTCCGGCGGCCTCCGAGGCTCCCGTCGGACGCCGTGCAGGGTGGGCTGTACGACCAGAGAGGCCTCCGATCGGCCACGCGCAGAGGGGGGTGTAGGGGGAGGAGGAGGAGGAGGCGGGAGGAGGAGGCGGGAGCAGGAGGAGGAGGATGAGGAGGACGATGAGGAAGAGGAGGAGGAGGAGGAGGAGGAGGAGGAGGAGGAGGAGGAGGAGGAGTAGGAGGCGGAGGAGGAGGAGGAGGAGGAGGAGGCGGAGGAGGAGGAGGAGGTGAAGGAGGAAGAGGAGGAGGGGAGGGAGGAAGCCTTCTGAGATGCAGGCCTGCTTCTTAGAAAGCGCGGGCCTTCTCTATACATGTAAGGCCGGCGCCTTCTAAGAAGCAGCCCCCTTCTAAGAAGCCTTCACCGCTCCCCCTGCCCCCGTCTGCGCGCCGCCAATCCTAGATGGGGTCGGAGCAGGTGGGGTCGGAGGATCGCGCCGCATCGGCGATGCACCGGCGATGCACCGGCGACGTCGACGATGCACCGGCGACGTCGGCGTGGAATAAATTGGGCTCCGCATCGAGCCGCATCGCGGGTGTGCATGGGAAATCGGCGATGCGGCGCTATCCTCCAACCTCATCTACTCCGATCTTATCCAGCAAACCTACAGAACACCACCATCCCAGACCCCCGACGTCATGATTTGTTCATGACGTCGACCCCCAAAAGTTTCGACCTATTCCCGGCACCGGTTTTTCATCCTGAATCGTTTATTGACGGTCCCGAGGCCCGGAAAGGGCCCCCAGAGGCCGAAAACTGACAAACCTCCCGTCGTGATTTTTCCACTCGAGGGGGTCTGGGATCGCACTTCCATCACCACGGCCACCAGCCACCGCCACGACGGCCACCACGGCCGGAAGAGGCGCACCGCAGCGAAGCACAGAGGGGGGCAGCGAGCGCCATGGAGGCCGACATGGGCGCCGCCGCGCGCCCAGCCGGGCTGGAGCAGCGGCTGCCTCGGCAGTGCGCTCGCTCTCTCCCTCTCTCTCGCTCTCTCTCTCTCTCTCTCTCTTTCTCTCTCCTCTGGGCAGCCCCAGAGCCCATAGAGGGGGCAGGAGGAGGTTGGAGCCCGTTTCTAGGTTCCCAGACCCCCTCGAATGAAAACATCGCGACGGGAGATGTTTCACAATTTCCGGCCTCCGGGGGCCCTTACTGGGCCTCGGGACCGTCAAAGAACAATCAAGAAGAAAAGCCGGTCCCGGGGAGCAGGTCGAGACCTCATGAAAAAATCATGACGTCGAGAGTCTGGGTCATTCGCGATAACGCCCGTGACCGGCCCCGCCCACTTCCCTCCCCGCCCCCCCGCGGTCACGTCACAATTCGCGCCAGCGCCGCGTGGGAATTTGCAATTCCTAAGCATTCGGAGTCGGCGCCGTCGCGAAACGTGACGTGGCCAGCCTAATCCCCCCCTCCCCCAACCCCTGGACACGCTCGTTATCGCCAGGAGACAAAAAATATCTCTTTGCGGCGAAACAGAAGGTCAGAAGATTAAGAAGCATACCCTCTCATTGAAAAGTGATGTTCAGCCCAAGTCGGGGCAATTAAGCCAGATCAGGCCACATTCAGCACAAGATGGAGCGGGATTCTGCAGGTCTGAGCGGGAACCGGCCAGAGAAGGACGGCCCTCGACAACAGATGTACAGGCCCCGGTGTTGAATTGACCCTCCCAGGAACTGCAACCCCCGCGACAGGGGGAGAGGGGGTATCCTTGTGCTGAGAAGGCATGGGGCCCAGCCGAGACAGGGGCGGCAGGGCCGGCTCATTTGGAGGCAGTTTTGCCCGCGCCTCCGCTAGAGGCGGAAACCAACCTCAGATAAGGCCGCCCAAAGGTTTGTTTTTCGTAACAGGCCAGATCCCTTCCCAGGGACCAGCACCTTATCCCGAGTCCCTTTCCGACGGTCCCAGGGGTCGGTAAGGGCCGCCGAAGGCCAAAACATTCCGTCGTGGCGTCTTCGCAGCGCGAGAAGGTCTGGGCCGGTGCGGAGGAGGGGGCCTTCGGCTTGGCGCTCGCTGGGGCCGCGGCCGCTGGTGACCGAGCTTGGCTGGCTGGCCGCCGACCCTGCGGAGCTCGACGCCAAGGAAATGCCGCGGCTGGCGGCCAGGCCGCGCTGGTCGGGCGTCCTCGCGGGCGCCCTCGTGGCCTCCGTCTGCTGCTACTTTCGGAGGGCGCAAGCCATGGTGCAGCCCGATGTTTTTGGCCCTGGGGGAGGTCTCCAAAGATTCCTGTTGGTATCCCGCACTTGCGGATAAGAGTTGACCACCTTGACCTTTTTTTGTGGTGGAGGAAAGCTCTCTCTGACCCTCGGCCCTGGTCAACCCCTGGGTAACGTCACGACTCGTGCGAACCGAGCTGGCTTTGGTTATTTTTATGGGCCTGCCCAGACGGCGCGCGGGCGCGAAACGTGACGTTCCCGGCCCCCCCCCCGCTCCCGCCCACCCCCCGGTAACGCCCGCGATCGCCCAGGAAAATAAAGGTCTCGGTTTTTCGAGACACGGGCCCCAGACCTCTCGACCACTTCCCAGGGACCCGTTTTTTCATCCTGGCCCGCTTGGAGCCTGTTCTTTTTAAGACTCTGGCAAAGTTACTTGCATGGAAGGTGTGGGGGGGGCTGAACCTGAAGCAGGCCACAAACGACTTGAGGCGCGGGAATCACGCAAGTCGAAAGGCACTGGCACGCTCGTACTCAATTGAAGAGGGGCGAGGGGAGGGGGGGGCGAACGCCATGCAATCAAACTTGCCTGGGCCTAAAGAAAAACAAGCTCTGGTTGACGGCCCCGCGGCCCGGCGAGGGCACGGAGAGGCCGAAAGCCATCAAAAAAAACCCGTCTCGATGCTCTGAAGGCGCGGGATGTCTGGGACGAAGGATTGCACGAAGGATTGCAAAAAAACCCTGGATTGCAAAAAAAACCCTTGGTCGAAGGATTGCAAAAAAACCCTGGGTTTTTTTGCAATCCTTGGTTTTTTTGCAATCCTTCGTTTTTTGCAATCCTTCGTGCTGGGCCAGCTCGGCCCCCCGGCAGGCTCCAACCGCGGCCCACCCCCGCCGTTCCGGGAGCAAGTGACATTTTTCAGCATCTCTGCAGTCGCAGCGAATGGCATGCCCCAGGAGACGCTTAACCGCTGGATCCGGTCTCGTTCGCACACGTTGTGATGTACTCTCGGTATGTGATCTTACTGCAAGGGTGCAAGGCCCCCCCGCCGCGCGACGAGACGGGGCCCCCCCAGCGGCCCCGGGCCGCCGCAAAGCGGGGCGAGCTCCTCCCGGCGGCCGCGGGGCTCCGGCAGGCGTCGGGTGCCGGGGCGCCGCAGACGAGCAGCTCCTCCGCTCTTCGGGGGGGGGCCCTGCCCACCCAGAGGGCCCCCATCAAGCCACGAGACGATCACGGCGGGCGGTTTTTGGGCCCGTGTCGCAAGGATGAGCGATCAGGATGCAGGGGCCTCGGATGCCCAGTTCTACGCTTTGCGAGCGGGGAGCGGCCAACGAAAGCGGCCAATGATGGACCGAGGACGCAAGGGATGCAAGGGTACCCTGAGGAAGGTTGCCCATCCTTCCTGTGCGGGTTGACCGTACTTTCACCCTCTGGGGGCCCTCTCCAGGCCTCGGGGCAATCAAAAAGCGATCCAGGACGAGAAACGGGCCCCAGGGACGAGTTCGAGACCTCTGGGAGTCGACATTCTGAAAAAATGATGTGTTGTCGGGGGTCTGGGGACGACGACGATGACGACGACGACGACGATGACGACGACTGGGGACACGCAAAGGTACCGATACCGATGCTCCCCAGACATGTCTCGGGGTGCGCTCTCACCAGGATCTCGAAGCGAATCTAGCGGCGGCGACGAGGGCCTCCCAGGAGGCCCACACAGGGAAAAGCGAGGATCGGGCGGGTGGCAATGGAGAAGGGCCCTAAAGGGGCCCTTCAGGGGCCCTTTTGGGCACCACCTGGCTCCAAAATGGGCCACAAAGAGCCCTCTGAGGGCACTTTTCTTCAACCCCCCTTTGGGTCACCCCCCATTGCCACTCGCCCGACTCGTACCCTCGACGCCATGATTTTTGGATGACGTCGACCCCCAGAGGCTTCGACCTCTTCCCCGGGACCGGTTTTTCATCCTGAGTCGTTTTTTGGCGGTGCCGAGGCCCGGAAAGGGCCCCCAGAGGCCGAAAACTGACAAACCTCCCGTCGTGATTTTTCCACTCGAGGGGGTCTGGGATCGCACTTCCATCACCACGGCCACCAGCCACCGCCACGACGGCCACCATGGCCGGAAGAGGCGCACCGCAGCGCAGGGTACCTTAGGGTGCCGAGAGTACCTTGTTTCGTTACTCGAGGGGGCCTAGGGAGAGCAAGGTTTCTCTTCCCCTCCTGAATTGCAGTTTCGTGGGGCGGGATGGCCCAGACTTCCGCGCTTCGCGCTCCGCGAAGCGCGCAGCGCCATCCTCTTCGCGCTTTTGCGCGCCCCCCTCCTCCTCCTCCTCCTCCTCCTCCTCCTCCTCCTCCTCCTCCTCCTCCTCCTCCTCCTCCTCCTCGTCCTCCTCCTCCTCCTCTCCGGAAACAGGATGTGGGACTCGCGCCTCGCTCTGACATCGCCCAGGACCCGCGAGGCGCGCAGCGCGACTGACCTCTTCGCACACTCGTGGTGGCCCCGGGCCTGGGGGCGGATCTTCCTCATGCCTCCTCCCTGCGCTTCTTCCGGCTCGGCCCCGAGAGCCCCTCTCAGACCCCAGAGAAGGATTTTGGGGCAAAGCACTGCCCCTGTGGGGAGGGGCTTTCCGCAGATCTCTGCATGGGGCCCACGGACTGCACAGATTAGTTCACCGGATGTCCGGGTAGAAGGTCAGAGTGTTTGCATAGAGATCGTGATATATCCATGTGATTTTTAGCACGTATGCAAGTAGACATGCATATCTACATATAGAGCGAGGAAGATGTGGGCCTTTCTGAGGCCCACGAGAGGCTTCTTGTCGCAACGGGTGGATCGCCTCGGAGATTCGGGGTGGTGCTAAAAAAGGAAGAAGCCAAGACCTGCGGCGTCAACACACAACAAAACTAAGCGGGCCGGTTTGGCCAAGTTCTCGACTCCTGAAGGCCCGCCTCCGGTCCTGGGGCCATCAGCAACATCAGGAACACATCCCCTGGTGTGGAAGTGGCTCGGGAGCCCATGTCACACACGCAAAGCAAGCCCTCAGACGTTTGCGCCATCTCTCTCCGTCCATGGACAGCTTCGTGCGAATAAAGCTCTTGCTGGGGTGTCGGCGTTTGCGAAGTCACAGCAGGCCACGGGTTGAATCGAACCGATGTCTCCTGTGAGAAGCCCACGGGAGCATGGCCGCGATAGATGACCTTGCGCTGGAGGAAAGGGCTCCTACGCAAGGCAACCGCGCTGCCCAGGCTCACGCGAAGGATGCTGTGCAGCTCCTCGCTGAAATCCATCCCAGCGTGGCCGAGAGAGCCGATCGTGATGTTCGCCATGTGCTCCCAGGCTGGCATGAGCGGGCGGAAGGACCCTGGACACCCGGTGCAAGCACTGCCTGGCCATTGCTAAGCTTGGTGACGCTCGGCAAACCCTCAGTTGCCCTGGAGCCCCCACTGTTGTTTCCTCCATCCTTGGACGGCCCCGAGGACATCTGTGGGCGGGAGTCGCCTCCCACAAAATCCATCCGAGGGCTCCCCGTAGCGGGTGGAGGACACCCAGCTTCAGTTGTTGTGTTCGTTGTGGTAGCTGGGCCCAAAGTTGCGGGAGGAGCTTTGCCAAGCCATGTGGCACCCCATCCAAGACAGGCAAAGAGGCTCTTCGTAAGTATCGCAGCGGTCTGGGCCCCCCAAAATAAGGTCTGACAGGTCATTCACTCTACATGGGAAGCACAAGGACATAATAGTATTATATGTCCTCCTTGGAGGCGCGCGTCCGACCCGAACAGACTTAGGCGTAGCTAAAGTTTCCTTGGAAACGCGGAAGACCTCCAGACGACCCAGACAGGATGCCTAGGCGGCCCCATGGCCCCAAGATTTTTCCACGACGGCCTCAGACGGGCACGAAGATGACCTCAAGAAGACCCCGTGGCCCCTGCAGGATCCAGACGCAGCGTCGACATGGCCTGGGGGCGAATCCAAGATGGCCCAAGATGTGAGCGTTGCCCTGGAGACCAGGTGCGGTGGCCCCCGAGCAACCCCGAGGTGGCCAGAGCATTCCGAGAGTGCAACACCATGATCTTAAGATGACCTGGGGATGATTTCAAGAAGACTTCAAGATGGCCCGAACACGTCATACATTGGCGGGATTGGGTCCCACCACGGGATTTATCCGGACCCCGTTTCTTATGGGTGGGATTTACGGTTGACCGGACTAAAACTACATTATTAGACATCAGAAGGGGGAACTACTCGCCAAGGATCCCGCCGAGACAACGCAAGAGGGCTATCTTGATAGGCTTCTGGGTGGGGAGGGGGGTTCAACGCATCCTGCCCCTCAACCCCATCGGGGGCCGTTGCCAAGAGGGCTGCGAAGCAGGTGAGCACACAATGCCAGCGGGCCCGATTCAGACAATTCACGGGACTTTCGGAGCGGCGATGTATAGTATACATATCCTGTAGTCTATCGGTTCCCGAGCGGTGTGGCCAGAACGTGCCTGCCACGACGTATATACTAGAAGATTTCTCTGTGCGCGCGTCGCGCCGACCACAGACCATGCCAAGAGGCGGAAGGTCGATCCCAAGCCTGAGTGCCAAGCCGTTGCCACAACTGCTGTTTCGTCGGCC